AAACAAAGTAGAGAGTATGTTTGGTGAACAATCAGTAGCGCAAAACCAGTCATGAGAAACCAAACTTGCTGCCTGATTGCGAAGGACTGGCAGGGAGAGGTCTGAAGAGCACAAGGCTTAGGCTTGCTGGACCTAGGGATTCTCAGAACTGTGTTCTTTGTACCTTACACAGAAGGGAAATGGCATCTACATACCAGCGAGCATTGATGGGCAAGTTCATTCCCCAATATAAACTAGATATTCCCATTTTGCAAAGAATAAATAAAGGGTCAGGAGAACTAAAAGGGGAGTGGAACTGGGCAGACTTTTTAATTCAGTATCAAATGAATAAAAGGTTAGCATTTCTACATGTATAAGTGGGTCTCCTACTTTATCAGATCATTCTTTGGAAAGGTTTTAGCTCTATTTAGATTTTTTACTACGTTAAAAGATTTCTTTTCAAAAGCTGGGCCCACCCATGAGGCCATGTTAACACTTGAGTCTTGCTATAGTGAACATTTGTCACTGTATAGTTTGGGTAACCGAACTTGGTATTTATATCCCAATTTACCACTTAATTTTCAGCTGTTCTAGATGCTGTTTTCCTTTATCTTCTAGTTAAGTGTTCTTTTTAATCTGTTCAAAATATTTCCTTGGCCAAGTGTCCATATTCCCTCCTCACACTTAAGTGCTCACCGACTGCAAGGAATTCCTGTTATCTCAGAACTGTCTAAAACCCAGTGAGGCAGGTCTATCGTTATAGATGAGTAAACTGATGCAGGAGGGGAAAAGGGAGCAGCGGTACGGGGAAAGATGCTAAGAGCAGGTTTAGCAGAGCCTGGTCTGAATCCTTCTACCCATTTACTAGTCTTTACCTCATGTTAACCTCTGAGCTCCCACTGACCCATCTGTGACATGGGGTTACCATGGGATTGTTGTGCAGAATGACAGGACACGCTAGAGATCAGCACAGCATTGGCTGTTAGCTGATAGATGAAGATAAGGAGGAAAAACACTTAAATGTGGGCGTATATCAAGCTTTAGGTAAGCTCTTCACCGGCCGGGCTTGAACTCATGACCCCAAGGTCAGAGTTGCATGCTCTACCAAACCAGCTAAGCGCCTCACAATCGCTTTATGACCCTTTCCTCCCGTGCACAAAGGACTCATCTCTAATACATGAGAACTCCAAAATTTGAATGACAGTAACATCTATGTACTACTATTCATTGCACTTCCTCAAGGTCCTAAATTGATCATCCCTTACCTTTCTTGTCTAATCCATCTTATTTTTGAGCTTTAGGAAAAGGGTAGTGTGCTGTATGCAGTTTACCAGGACTTGTTCTTTATCTAACCTTACTTTTAATAATTCCTCTATACCCAGAGCTCATTTTCAGGGCTGATAATTTAGGATCATTTGTTTTCTGATTGATGGAACTTTGAGATTTTTGCTATCTTTTAAGTACTACTTTAAACATTCCCAAAAATGCACCGACGTCCATAATGTAGGGTTGTTCAATTCTGTAAGGTACACCAGCCATTAACCCATGTGGTTCTAAAACTTAACACTAATGGTCTTATACACTGGACAGCTGGGGCTAGGAATCCTGCTTTTCACCAACTCCTGATCTCCTCTATTAAATGGAGACAGAGCAAAGGGCAAGATGTCCAGGTGCCTGGCACCTAACAGATGCTCTGAAGACAAAGTAATCATATTTTATAAATCCAAATCTTAGGGTCCCCTGGCATTTTGAAGTGAACTAGTCTCCACACCAGTGCTCAGCCTGCCCCCTTCCCCAAACCCTACTTTGTTAGTGTCAAATACAGGTTTGAATTTTGGTGTTAGCCTTTGTGTAAATAAGGACCCAAACCTGATTTTTGAGAGTGAGAGCGAGAGATCAGAGGGAGAGGGAGCAGCAGACTTGCCACGGAGCAGGGAGCCCGATGTGGGGCTCAATCCCGGGACCCTAAGACCATGACCTGAGCCCAAGGCAGACGCTTAACTAAGCCACCCAGGTGCCCCATCAAACCTGAGTTTACACCACTCCTTCAGTATTGCTGAATTATAAGCCCAGGGACATAGCAGTATTCTACCTCTGATGGCTCAGCACAGCTCAAAAATTTGTAGCCAGGATTCTACTTGGGATTTTTAAGAGGCCTTGATTATACCACCACCGCTGCTTCTTATTCCTGTCAAGGGGACAAACCCTGTCATCGTGAACTCACACAGGTGACCCCGACAAGGCATTTGCTCTGATCCTTCTCCCACCTCTCCATGCAGTTCTAGATGCAATTATTAGGTACATTCTTGGCACAGAAGTGGCTGGTGTACTATTTCTCACCATGAGATGGTGGCAGGGGGAAAAAAACTCAGCTGGTGTCATACCAGAAAAGGCTGAAAACCAGTGTTGCAGAAGGGAGATCATCCATACATAGTACATTCCCAAATAAATGGCAAAACCAACAGCAACCAAGAGTTCAGCTTTTTATTGAGCAGCTTATAGAAGAGGTTTAGTCAAAAAGACCAAAGCCCATGTCATCATCGGACTCCTCAGATTCTTCCTTCTTTGCTTCCACTTTCTTCTCCTCAGCTAAAAAACAGAAAGTCAATCACAGCTGCTCAGTATTTTAAACTCCAAAGAGCTCCAGGCCCTTCAACTTACATGGTTAAAAATACCCTAGCCTTCTTTCCAACTATGTCCGAGTTTAGGATTTCTACACATCATCTACTCTTAGCAAATTAAGTATTATAGGCAACACTGTTCTTCATCTCCACTCCTCCCTCCAATACCAAAAAAAAAAAAAAAGGTCTACCTGGGGCAGCAGCAGTGGAAGGAGCAGGACCTCCAGCTGGCGCAGCACCAGCTGCTGGGGCAGGTCCACCAGCTCCTACATTGCAGATGAGGCTCCCAATGTTGACGTTGGCCAGGGCCTGCAACACACATGCATACAACAGATCACACTCAGTTCTGGCCTTTTGTTATGGTACCAACCCCCTTTTGAACGGACAGTAAGCAATTCCCAACACTATTACTGTTCTTCCTTCTTCGCTAGAGTCTGCCAGTGACATTTTGTCTTCTGCTTGGATTAGACATAGATAGGGCCACACAGCTATGTTAAAAATTAATCACACACACAAAACTACTCAAGCTTTAAATCTTGAGTATTGCATTGCGATACTTAAGTAGCAAGGCAGAATAACTAACTGAATTTCTTCCTTTTATAGATGAGAAACTGGCCCACAAAAGCTGGCTTAAGTTGTTGGCAAAAAACTCAAGCTTCCTTAAACACTCAAACCAGGATTCTTTCCACAGTTCCAAATTTTTTAACAGTGAATTCAATTTTTCAGACTGCTAAGTCCAGGGACTTTATTAAAGGCACAATGTTTTCAATCATTCAAGTCTTTGGACACAACCTGAAGAGATGAAGCTAAAAGCCACTTACCAAAGATTAAGTAACATATACAACAGAAAAGGGAGCCAGTGCCAAGTTCCTTGGGTAGGAATCTTGTCTTCATTAGTCTTTTTAGGTATCCCAACAAATAGTAAATGGTCAATGAAAGGCCACTACACCCAACTTCCATGAAATCAGAAGGAAGGATCTCCTTGGAACGGCATGGGTGGTGGTATCCCCTGGGTGACCCTTTTAAGGAGGAGTCATTTGGTGCATATGTCATATATACATATACATACACGTACAAATATATGTGTGTGCCATGGTTTCAGAACAGAAGGAAAGAGAAACCAGATTGAAATCAAGGAAAAGACAAGATAAACTTTAATTAGGTTCTAGAAATGGAGCTATGAAGAAATAGAACTTAAAAAAGGTCCAGTGGAATACGGCACCTTCCAGTCTTTTTCGCGTTACGTGAGCACCTGACTTAATAAATCAGTAATGTCCCCAAATTTGCTTCTCCAAATCACTTTGCTGCCACCACCTTACCTTTGCAAACAAGCCAGGCCAGAAAGGTTCAACATTCACACCCGCTGCTTTAATGAGGGCATTGATCTTATCCTCCTAAAAAAGATGAAACAGCAATCCATCAGAGCAAAGTGTAGTTTTCGTAAACGTCTCCAAAATACTGCAACTGACAGTAAATCACTCAAAACGTGTGTACAAAACCATGTTTAACCATTTCGAATACTCTATCTGTATTTCACGTATGCTTATTTAAAACGACCATTTCTTACTCCTACGATTACCACGAGCAAGTGAAATGCATCCGGCTCCTGTGTGCCAGGCACCTTGCAAGGCGGCGAGCCCATCGCTGCCATTTCGCAGGCTGGGACCTGCCCAAGTCACGCCGCTATTTTAAGTTACGAGACAGGCCGGGAGGTGGAGCAAGCTAACGTGCTCTCCACATCACGCAGCCTGGCCCAACAAGACCTACCAGGACCACCACAGGAATTCCAGGCCATCACACCAAAGAGGAATAGTGACCTAGAGGGTGAGGATGCCCACACGCCGCGGAAGTTTCGCTAAAGCAAGCTTCCAAAGCCGGAGCGCGCAGCCCAAGTGTACTCCAGTCCCCCAGGAAGCTGCAGCACGTGGCCGGGGCCCCAGGCCGCCCCGCACGTGCGCCCGCCCGCCGCGAATGTCGATGGCCGCGGCTCCCGCCGGAAGGGCCTGGCAGGGAGGCCCGGCACGCGGAGAAAAACGGCCGCCCGCAGGCCGACCCCGCCGCCGGCCCGGGCCCGCACTCACCGTGACCGTCACCTCATCGTCGTGCAGGATGAGGGCCGAGTAGATGCAGGCGAGCTCCGAGACGGAGGCCATAGTGCTGGCGAGTGCTGAGCGGACGCTGCCGGGCACGGTGCTAGTCGCCGGATGAAGTGAGGGCCTCACCCCAACGCGGCCTTAGCTTCCTCGGAAGGACCGAGCACCTTAGCGGCAGCTGAGGAAAGGAGGTCCCGCGCCTGCGCGCAGCCTCTTATACTGGTCACGCGGACCAATCGGTGCCCCGCGCCTGGCGGAAGAGGCGGAGCGAGAACCGCCCGCACCGACCACTGTTGGCGCCTGCGCACAAAGTGCGACTCGCTCGTTCAAAAAGTTGGTGGGTTCCTGCAACTGCGGGTTCTTTGGGTTAGGCTAAAACTCAGGACTCGTGAACAGTAAAAATATTTCTAAGAAAAAGTTATCTAAGTACATGGCTTTCACCCCCATCTACTGTAGCCCGTGTGACACTATTTGGACCTTTAATGACGCCGCCAGCCTCTCCTAGCTGGCTGTGACCACCTGGAGCGCAGGAGCTAAATTTCAGCCTGGCGGCCTCTGGTCCTTAGCACAGCGTCTCGGATGAATTAAGTGATGGAGGAGGAACTGAGAAGCTTCCAGCGTGACGATAGCAGTACCATTGGAGCGCCTACTGTGTCCCAGGCACTGAGCCACACTCTACAAGGATTCATTTAATCTTCACACAGCATAAGAGGTAAGTACTATTATTATAAGTATAAAAGGTCTATTGGGAATGTAGGGGAACTTTCCATATCAATTTCATTTTTTGTAACTAAGGCATGTGTTTGGGTGGAAGCGTCTTGAAACGACCCTTAAGACGTTCAAGACTTCTTGAAGCAACTCTGTCTAGGTGCTGCATTGCTGTTTTGTATCTTTGAGGCTTAATAAAACTGGATTCATATTGAGAGTTGGGCTTTTTTTTTTTTTTTGAAGTATAATTGACATAACATTTTTATTTCTGGTGTATAGCATAATGATTCGATATTGTGTGTATTGCAAAACATATGTCAACCATTTTTAAGGTCTACTCTCAGCAACTTTTAAATATGAAACACAATATTATTAACTATAGTCACCATGTTGTACATAACACCTAGTGACTTACAACTGCAGGTTTGTAACTTTTGACTCCCTTCACCCATTCCACCGCTCCCTCTGGCAACCACCAATCTGTTCTCTGTATCTATGAGTTTGGTTTGTTTATTTTTGTTTGTTGTTTGGATTCCACATATAAGTGAGATCATTTGTCTTTCTCTGACGTGTTTTGCTTAGTGTAATGCCCTCAAGGTCCATCCATGTTGTCTCCAATGGCAAGGTGTTATACTTTTTTACAGCTGAATAATGTGTGTGTGTGTGTGTGTGTGTGTGTCGCATTTTCTTCATCCATTCATCCATTGATGGACACTTTGGTTGTTTCTGTGTCTTGGCTATTGTAAATAATGCTGCAGTGAACATCGGAATGAATATATCTTTTCAAATTAGTGTTTTTGTTGTCTTCCGATAAATACCTGAGAGTGGAATTGCTTGATCATATGGTAGTTCTACTTTTAATTGGGGGGGGGGGAACCTCTGTACCGTTTTCCACGGCGCCTGCACCAATTTATATTCCCACAAACAGTGCACAAATGTTTCCTTTTCTTCACATCCTTGCCACCACTTGTTCTTGTCATCTTTTTTTTTTTTAAAGATTTTATTTATTTATTTGACAGAGAAAGACACAGTGAGAGTGGGGACACAAACGGGGAGTGGGAGAGGGAGAAGCAGGCTTCCTGCCGGGCAGGGAGCCCGATGCGGGGCTCGATCCCAGGACCCTGGGACCATGACCTGAGCCGAAGGCAGACGCTTAACGACTGAGCCACCCAGGCGCCCCTGTTCTTGTCTTCTTGATGACAGCTTTTCTAACGGTTGTGAGGTGATATCTCACTGTGGTTTTATTGATTTCCCTGATGATTGGTAATGTTGAGCATGTTTTTCATGTGCCTGCTGGCCATCTGTATGTCTTTGGAAAAATATTCAGATCTTTTGCCCATTCTTAATGAAATTTTTGTTGATATTGAGTTATAGGGGTTCTTTATTCATTTTGGTTATGAACCCCTTATCAGATATATGATTTGCAAAAATTTTCTCCTATTCAGTAGGTTGCCTTTTCATTTTGTTGATGATTTCCTTTGCTGTCCAGAAGTTTTTAGTTGAATGTTGTCCCACTTGTTTACTTTAGTTTGTGTTGCCTTTGCTTTTGGAGTCAGATCAAAAGATCTTTGCCAAGACCAATGTCAGGGAGCTTACCGCCTGTGTTTTCTTCTAGGAGTTTTATGTTCCAGGTCTTACATTCAAGTTTTTATTCCATTTTGAATTAATTTTTGTGTATGGTGTAAGATGGTGGTCCATTTTCTTTCTTTTGCATGTTTCTGTCCAGTTTTTCCAACACCACTCATTGAGGAGACTGTCCTTTCCTGATTATATATTCTTGATTCTTATGTCATAAATTAATTGACCATATATGAATGGGTTTATGTCTGTGCCATTGATCTGTGTGTGTGTGTGTATGTGTTTAAGATTTATTTATTTATTTCGGAGGGGGGAGAGAGACAGAGAGTGCCTGAGCACACAGGGTGGTGTGGGGACGGGCAGAGGGAGAGGGAGACAAGCAGACTCCCCACTGAGTGGGGAGCCTGACAGGGCTTGATCCCAGGACCCTGAGATCATGACCTGAGCTGAAACCAAGAGTCAGATGCTTAACTGACTGTGCCACCCAGGCACCCCTTAATATCCCAAACTTTTAAAAAAGCTTTAAAAGCTATCAAGCTTTCTAAAAATAAAACTTGTTTTGAGTTTTCATCCAAATCTAGAAGCAATTATAGTGGACTTTGGGTGGAAAAAGGTAAAGCTATTGAAAAATTCAAACATTTCCAAAGCCAAAATGAATCAGTCTAAAACATAGTCATCCCCCTTTCCCACCCCTAGTGTACTTCAAAACAAAACAAAACAAAAACTGATCTGGCAAATATACATCAACAAAAAGTAAAACAAAATATTGCCTCTCTTAAACTATACTAATAAGGGACCTTTTTACATCAATGTTTTGTTCCCCAAATTGTTTTATAACTGTAATAGTAAAACCTGAACCTTAGAATATAAGAAAGGTAAATTGTAAGTTCTTCTCACTTATGAATATAAACACAAAAATCGTCAATTAGTAAAACTGGAAAAACTTAAAGATTAATGAACTGAATGCAGTACTGCGTGTCGAAATATGGTATATCATGACTAAGGATAGTTCAACATAAAAGCTATTAAAAGTAATCCATTAACAAAGAGGAAAATCTAGATGAAATTCTTACAGATTCAGAAAAACCACTTGATAAAATTAAGTATTAACATAGACTCTTAGAAAATTGGAAGAAAAGGTAACTTCCATATCCTGATAAGATATCTGCTAAAAATCTACAGTAAACATCATACTTAATGGTGAAACTTAAAACCTACTCTTTAAAACCAGGAACAAACAAGGATGTGTCCTTCCTCTGCTTCTACTTCAATTATGGTTTTAGAATTTACCCATCTCCATAAGACAAGAAAGAGAAAAGGTATTAAATTGGAAAGTTGTGAACTCTCATTATTCATAAATAATATGATTATTTACCCAGAAGTTCCAAGAGAATCCATAAACAAATCAGCCTAATAAGTAGTTCAGCAAGGTAGCTAGTTTCAAGATTAATACACAAAAGCCAGCAGCATTTCTGTGTTCAGCAAAAGTCAGTTACAAAATGTAGTATTAAAAAATACACCTCATACAATAGCAACAAAAATCATATAGTTTCTAGGAGTAAATCTAACAATTTATGCATGATCACTATTTTTAAAATTACAAACGTCATGGAACAACATAGACGCAACCTAAATAGAGTGATACACCATATTCACAGATGAAGATCTTAAAGTGGGTAATTCTCTTCAAATTATATAATTTCAGTCAATATTCCATAGGAATATTCCAATATTCCACTGGTCAAATTCCATCTCAAAAACCCTAACGGGGTTTGACCTTAAATTGACCTTAAATTTTCATGGAAGGCTTAAGGACCAATAAAAATGAAGGCAGTGTTTCAAAGTAGGAATAGAAGCTTTACTTAAATGTCAGTTCCATGGAGGGCACACACTTTGGTTTGCCACCACATCAATTGTGCCTAAACAGTGCCTGGCACATGGGGGCACTCAAATAAATACATGCTGAATGAATTAAAACTATGTTATTGATATACAAGTAGATAAACAGACCAAGAGAACAGAGAACCTAGGAATCCACTCTCATACATATGGGAACTTGGTAAGTCAGAGGTATGACTTTATAAATGGGGAAGTGAGGTGGTTAGGGGGAAGAGTACCTTTTCAAAAAAACATAACTGGGACAATTGATTTTCTATCCATATGGAAATGTGGAAAGAATATTTTTAAGTCCATCCTCATCATATATAATGTGAAAAGAAAAACTCTAAAATTTTAGAGGAAAACAGGAATTTATTATTATTGAGTATATGAAAAATTTCTTAAGGCACAAAAACATAAAGGAAAAGATTCATAGGTTTGATTACATTAAAATTGAAAACTACAAGCCAAAAGAAACCATAAACAATGTCTAAAAAAACTGTTATAGCCAAGAGCCTAAGGAAACACAATGACTAAATGTGATATGGTTTCCTAGATGGGATCCTGGGAAGGACAAAAGACATTAGGTGAAAAGTAAGGAATTCCAAATAAAATACGGACTTTAGTAAATAACAGTATATCAACATTGGTTTATTAATTGTAACACATATTGATATGTTAATAATAGGGGAACCTGGCTGTGATTGTAAGGGAATTCTAATCATAATTTTTTGGTAAAACTAAAATAATTCTAAAAATTAAGTTTATTTTTTTAAAAAACCACCATAACCAAAGTAAAAAAAAATGTCAGATTGGGAGAAGATACAAGGTCCAAAGTACCCAAAAGCTATATAAAGTCCCACAAACCAGTAAGAAAAGACACAACTGTCCTGTTTTGCAAAACATCAAAAATTACCAAGTAAGGGGTGCCTGGCTGGCTTAGTCCACAGAGCACATGACTCTTGATCTTGGGGTCCTGAGTTCAAGCCCCACACTGGGCATAAAGCTTACTTAAAAAAAAAAAAAAAAAAAATTATCAACTAAAAGTAACTATCTAGGGCTAAGAAATTTTTACTTAAACTGTAAAACTGAGACAGTCATTAGCTAAGTGGTTGAAAGCTTTGATGTCAGGCTCAGACTTGGGCTTAAATATCAGCTCCATCATTTATGATTTTGGGGTCATTAATCCTCTCGATCTGTTTCTTCACCTATAAGTTATAGATAATACCTGTACAGCGTGTCAGATGCTGAGCACCCAGTTAACCACAGCCATTCTTCATAAATGTTTAGGAGAACTCTTTAAGCAAAACATCAACTGCCCATGCATTTCCCTTTGTTATGTGTAGTTCCCGGACTTAAAATGGATTCAACATCATACTTTGACTTTAGACAAATTCTACTACCCTCATTCCCCTATCATAGTACAAACGTCCTGTTAAGATGTATTTTCAAAAGACTAAGCAATATGCCATTTAAAAACATTAAAAATAAGAAATGGAGAGGTTAAATCCAGTAACATCCACTGAAATAGGATTAAACTTTAGTGCTCTGGAGCATTCTAGAAACACAGTTGTGACATTGCTTACTACTATACTGTTAGTGACAAGTGGTTTTTGTGGACTAATATTCCACCTTCACTATTAATGTAACAGATTACCATTGTAGTTAAAAAAAAAAAAAATCAGCCTCCAAAGAAACCCTAATTTAATCAGAAGAAAAATGTGTCTTTACCCAGGTAATAATGTCTATTTCATCATGTTTTTCAGTAGTGCTTTTTCTAATTTATGTTGTCCCCATACCATGTTTTTTGTTTAAATGTCTAGAAGAGCATACTTAATACATAGATATAACAGTTGTTACACAAGAAAGACATTATCAATTTATTGTCAAATTACTTTATATTTCCTACTGCCTTTTTTTTACAATTGCAAAAATTCTACTTTTCATTTTTTTCTATTGAAATGTGTTTGACATAATATTTTATAAACTTACAGTGTACAACACCTTCTAGTATAGAATTTGATACATTTGTACATGGTAATATGATTGCCACTGTATAGCATCTCTATCAGATTACATAATCATGCTTTCTTCATAGTACTTACAATAATTAAATTCTAGTCTCTTAGTAAGTTTGATGTTTGTAATACAGTATTACTGTAGTCAGTGTACTGTGCATTAGATCTCTAGGACTTACTTACTACTTGTTTTAAGTTTATACCCTTAAAAACATCTGTCTTGTCTCCCCACCCCCATCCCTTGATAACCACCATTTTATTCTCTATTTTTACAAGTTTGGCTTTTTAAAATTGCACATGTAAGTGATATCATACAGTACTTGTCTTTCTCTGGCTTACCTCACTTAGTATAATGTGTTCAAGGTCTATCCATGTTGTGGCAAATGGCAGGACGTCCTCCTTTCTCACGGCTGAATAACACTCCTCTGCGTGTGTGTGCAGGGCATGCGCGCACCACATATTTTTATCCATTCATCTACTGTTGGCCACTTAGGTTGTTTCTGTATCTTAGCTGTTGTAAATAGTGCTGCAGTGAACATGGGAGTGCAGATATCTTTTCATGATAGTGTTTCGATTTTCTTCAGGTAAATACCCAGAAGTGGAATCATATTGTAGTTCTAATTTTAATTTTTGGAGGGACCTCCGTACACTGTTTTCCACAGTAGCTGTGCCAGTTTACTTTCCCAGCAACAGTGCACGAGGGTTCCCTTCTTTCCACATCCTTGCCAACACTTGTTATTCTTGTCTTCTTGGCGATAGCCGTTGTAATACCTGTGAGGAGATATCTCGCTGTGGTTTCATTTGCATTTCCCTGATGATGAGTAATGTTGAGCCTCTTTTCATGTACCTGGTGGCCATCTGGATGTCTTCTTTGGAAAAGTGTCTATTTAGTTCTTCTCCCCATTTTTAAATCAGATTGCTTTTCTCTTATTGAGTTGTATGAATTCTTTATATATTTTGGATATTAAACTTTTTTTTAATATTTTATTTATTTATTTGTCAGAGAGAGAAAGAAAGAGCACAAGCAGGGGGAGCAGCAGGCAGAGGAAGAAGCAGGCTCCCCACCAAGCAGGGAGCCCAACGCGGGACTCGGTCCCAGGACCCTGGGATCATGACCTGAGCCGAAGGCAGACACCGGCGTCCCTGGATATTAACCTTTTATCGGATGTGTGGTTTGCAAAAACTTTCTCCCATTTTGTAGATTGCCTTTCATTTTGTTAAATCTTTTGTTCAAAAGCTTTTAAGTTTGTTGTAATCCCTTCTGTTTTTACTTTTGTTGTTTGATGTCATATCCAAAAATCATTGCCAAAACCAGTCTCAAGGAGCTTCTTCTCTATATTTTCTTCTAGGAGTTGGATAGTATGAGTCCTTATGTTCAAGTCTGCAATCCATTTCACGTGAATTTTTGTGAGTGGTGTAAGATTGGTGTCCAGTTTCAGTGTTCTGCATGTGTTCAGTTTTCTCAACACCATTTGTTGAAGAGTCTTTCTTTTCCCCATTTGGTGCTATTGGCCCCCTTGTTGAATATTAGTTTAATGTATAAGCAGAGGTTAACGTTGGGCTCTTTGTTCTGTTCTGTCAATGTGTCTGTTTTTGTGCTGGTACCATACTGTTTTTAATACTATAGCTTTGTAGTATAGTTTGAAATCAGGAAGTGCAATATCTGTAGTTTTGTTCTTTTCCTCAGGATTGCTTTAGCTATTTGGAGTCCTTTGTGGTTCCATACAAACATTGCAGCTTATTTTCTATTTCTGTGAAGAATGCCATTAATATTTGTTGGGGATTGTGTTGAATCTATAGATTGCTTTGAGTAGTATACACATTTTAGCAATATTAATTCTTCCAGTCCATGAGCATAGGTTATCTTTCCATTTGTTTCTGTCTTTTTCTATTTTTTTCATCAGTCTTGTAGTTTTTGTTGTACAGAACTTTCACCTTCAGGGCAGCCTTGGTGGCTCAGTCAGTTGGGCATCTGCCTTCGGTTCAGGTCATGATCTCGGGGTCCTGGGATCAAGCCCCATGTCAGGCTCCCTGCTTGGCAGGGAGTCTGCTTGTCCCTCTGCCCCGCTCCCCCTCTCTGCCTGTGCTCTCTCTCTCTCAAATAAATAAATAAAATCTTTAAAAAAAAAAAAAAACTTTCACCTCCTACATTAAATTTATTCCTAAGTATTTTATTGTTTTTGATGCTACTGTGAATGGGAAAGCTTTTTTTTTTGTGACCATTATTACCTTTTTCTTAGACTTGACAATCATTTTATTGAAACATAATTGACATAAAATGTTTTATTAGTTTCAAGTGTACAACAGATTGATTCCACAGTTCTGCACATTACTCATGGCTCACCATGATAAGTGTAGTCACTATATGTCACTACACAACATTATTACACTATCATTGACTATATTCTTTATGCTGTACTTTTCATCTCTGTGACTTATTTATTTTGCAACTGGAATTTTCCTCCAATCCCCTTTATTTTGCCTATCCCTCCACCTGTCTCCCTTCTAGCAGCCACCAGTTTGTTCTCTGTACTTAAGAATCTGTTTTGTTTTTTAGATTCCACATATAAGCGAAATCATATGGTATTTGTCTTTCTCTGTCTAACTTATTTCACTTAGCATTATACCCTCTCAGTCCATCCAGGTTGTTGCAAATGGCAAGATCTCATTCTTTTTGATAGCCAAGTAACATTCCCTGCGCACGCACGTGTGTATGCCACATCTTTATTCAACCACTGATGGACACTTGGGTTGCTTCCATATCTTGGCTATTGTAAACGATCCTGCACTGAACATAGGAGGGAATATATCTTTTCAAATTAGTGTTCATTTTTGAGGGGTAGATACCCAGTGGTGGAATTACTTGATCATATGGTATTTCTAGTTTTAATTTTTTGAGGGACCTCCCTACTGTTTTCCACAGTGGCTGCACCAGTTTGTATTCCCACCAACAGGGCATAAGTGTTCTATTTTCCCCACATCCTTACCAACACTTGTTATTTCTTGTCTTTTTGATACTAGGCATTCTGACAGGTGTGAGGTGATATATCATTTTGGTTTTGATTTGTATTTCCCTCATGATAAGTGATGGTGATCATCTTTTCATGGGTCTGTTGGCCATCTGGATGTCTTTGGAAAAATATCTACTCAAGTCCTCTGCTCATTTTTAAATCAGATTATTTGTATTTTTTTTGGTGTTGAGCTGTATGAGTTCTTTACATATTTTGGGTATTAACCCCTTATTGGGTATATCATTTGCAAATATCTTCTCCCATTCACTGGGTTGCCTTTTTGTTTTGTTGATAGTTTCTTTTGCTGTGCAAAAGCTTTTTATTTTAATGTGGTCCCAGTAGTTTACTTTTGTTTTTGTTTCCCTTGCCTGAGGAGACAGATCATATATATGTTTAAGGACACATTCCATGAGATTACTGCCTATGTTTTCTTTTAGGTTTTTATGGTTTCAGGTCTCACATTTAGGTCTTTAATCCATTCTGAGTTTATTTTTGTGTATGGTGTAAGAAAGTGGTCCAGTTTCATTCTTTTGCATATAGCTGTCCAGTTTTCCCAATACCATTTATTGAAAAACTGTCTTTTCCCCCATTGTATATTCTTGTCTCCTTTGTCATAGATTAAGTGACCAGGTAAGTGTGGGTTTATTTCTGGGCTCCCTGTCATGTTCCACTGATCTATGTGTGTGCTTTGTGCTGGTACCGTATTGTTCTGATTACCATAGCTTTGTAGTAAACCTTAAAATCTGGAATTGTGATACCTCCAGCTTTGTTCTTTCTCAAGATTGCTTTGGCTATTTGAGGTCTTTTGTGATTTCATACAAATTTTAGGATTAAAAATCTGTGAAAAATGCTATTGGTATTTTGATAGGGATTACACTGAATCTGTAGTTTGCTTTGGGTAGTATGGACATTTTAACAACATTAATTCTTCTGATTTATGAGCATGATGTATCTTCCTATTTGTGTCATCATCAGTTTCTTTCATCAGTGTTTTATAGTTTTCAGAGGACAAGTTCTTCACCTCTTTGGTTAAGTTTATTCCTAATAATTTGTTGTTTAAAGCCACTGTTCCCTTACGGATTTTCTGCCTGGATGATCTAGACATTGATGTTAAGTGAGGTGTTAAAATCCCCTACTGTTATCGTACTACTGTTAATTTCTCCCCTTATGTCTATTAATATCTGCTTTTATGTATTTAGGTGTTCCCATGTTGGGTGCATAGATATTTACAATTGTTATACCCTCTTGTAGGATTGGTCCCTTTATCATTATGTAGTGTTCTTCTTTGTCCTTTGCTACATTGTGTTAAAACCTGTTTTGTCTAGGGGCACCTGGGTGGTGCAGTCAGTTGAGTATCAGACTTGGTTTTGGCTCAGGTTGTGATCTCAGGTTCATGAGTGAGCCCCACATCGGGCTCTGCATGGAGTCTGCTTGAGATTCTCTCTCCCTCTCCCCCCACACATGTGCATGCTCACTTGCTCTCTCTCCAATAAGTAAATCTTTAAAAAAAATAATGAAGTTTGTTTTGTCTAATGTAAGTATTCCCACCATGGCTTTTTTTTCTTTTTGCTTCCATTTGCATGGTATATGCTTTTCCATCCCTTCACTTTCAGTCTGTACATGTTTTTCAGTCTGAAGTGAGCCTCTTGTAAGCAGCATATAGATGGGTCTTGGTTTTTTTATTTTTTATTTTTATTTTTATTTTAAAAGATTTTATTTATCTATTTGACAGAGAGAGACACAGCGAGAGAGGGAACACAAGCCGGGGGAGTGGGAGAGGGAGAAGCAGGCTTCCCACGGAGCAGGGAGCCCGATGCGGGGCTTGATCCCAGGACCCTGGGATCATGACCTGAGCCAAAGGCAGATGCTTAACCAACTGAGCCACCCAGATGCCCCCCTTTTTTTAACCCACTGAGTCACCCTATGTGTTTTGATTAGAGCATTCAGTCCATTTACATTTAAAATAATTGTTGATAGGTATGTACCTATTGCCATTTTGTTAAATGTTGTCTGGTTGTTTTGTAGCTTTTCTCTGCTTTTTTCTACTTCCTCTTTTCCCTTGTGATCTGATGGTTTTGTTTAGTGTTATGGTTGGATTCCTTTCTCTTTTTATTTTTTGTATATCTGTTATAAGTTTTTTTTTTTTTTTAAGATTTATTTACTGAGAGAGAGAGAGCACAAGTGAGAGAGCACAAGCAGGGGAAGCAACAAAGGGAGAGGGAGAAGCGACTGCCCGCTAAGTAGGGAGCCGGACACGGGGCTCGATCCCAGGACCCTGAGGTCATGACCTGAGCCGAAGGCAGCCGCTTAACCGACTGAGCCACCCAGGTGCCCCTCTGTTATAGGTTTTTGATTTGTGATTACCACTGGGTTCATGTATAACATCTGATGTATATAGCAGTCTGTGTTTAAGTTGATGCTCTCTTAAGTTTGAACACATTCTAAAACCTCTAAATTTTTACTCCACTCTCCATGTTTTATGTATATGATGTCATATTTTACATTCTTTTGTGTATGCTTTGCTTAATTTTGTAGAGATAATTGATTTTGCTACTTTTGTGTTTTAACTTTCATATTGGCTTTATAAGTAATTAACATACTATCTTTATTATATTTTTGTTTTTATCTGTGAAATTTTTTCCTTTCATTATTTTCTTCTAGTTATGGCCTTTTTTTTTTTTCCCAACTTAAGAATCCCCTTTAACATTTCTTACAAGGCCAGTTTAACTATAACTTTTGTTTGTCTGGGAAACTTTCTCTCTCCAGTGATAACCTTGCTGGGTAAAGTATTCTTGGTTTAAGTTTTTTCCCTTTTAGCCCTTTGAATATATCATGCCACCTTCTTCTGGCCTGCATAGTTTCTGCTGAAAAATCAGCTGATAGCTTTATGGGGTTTTCCCTTGTATCTTGTTTTGGTTTGCTGCTTTTAAAATTGTGTCTTTATTATTACTTTTTGCCATTTTAACTATTATGTGTTTTGGTCTGGACCTCCTTGGGTTCACCTTGTTAGGGGCTCTCTTTGCTTCCTGGACTCGGATGTTTGTTTCCTTCCCCAGAGTGGAGAAATTTTCAGCTCTTATTTCTTGAAATGATTTTCAGCCCTCTCTCTCCCTCTGGCACTCTATAATGTGAATGCTATTATATTTGATGATGTCTTTTCTCAGGTCCAGTGAGCATCTTTATGACCATTACTTGGAATTTTTTATCAAGCTTATTATCTCTCTTTCATTTAGCTCTTTTACTGTGATTTTGTCTTATTCTTTGATTTGGGACGTATTCCTTTGTCTCCTCATTTGGTCTGTTTTTATGTATTCGGTAGATCAGCTGTATCTCCTGGTCTTTAAAATAGTGGCCTTGTGTAGACGAGGTCCTGTGGTGCCCTGTAGTGCAGTGCCCCCGTGGTCAGCAGAACCAGGTGCTCCAGAAGGATCTCCTTTGTGGGCTTGGGTGCCCTCTCGTGGCTGAGCCGTGACTGCCTCCAGCTGCGCTAGCTGCAGTCTGCCTGCCTTGCCTGCTGTGGCGTCCTGGGCGTTTACTCCCCCGCTGTTGCGAGGCCTCTGCAGCAGAGGGGCTTTCATTAGTGGACAGAGCCGGCAGTCAGTCCAGCTGTCTGCACTTAGCCTCTCTGCCACAGCTGTGGGCACACTGACGGGCAGGGCTTGCTGCATGCACAGTCAGCTAAGAGGCTCAGTGCAGGGACTGCATGCATGTTGGTGCGTGGGCTTATTTCCACCACGCCTCAGGACAGGAGTCACTTTGGAGGGATACTGGGAGGCGGGCAGTTGGATTGGGTGGATCCGCAGGAGAACACTGGGGTAGGGGCACGCAATGCTAGCAAAGTAGAGGGAGAGTTTAGTGCTGGCTCCTGCAAGCATCCAGCCATCTAGGCTGGGGAACCAGCACTTTTGTTCCTGGAGAAATCTCCTGCAGATCCCTACCTCTCCAAACACATTCTAAAATTAGTCAGGATATCTCTTTCAGGTATACCCTAGGTGCTTTTCAGACTGCTGTTTTCATGCTGTGTCTCCAGCCAAGTTATTTAGTAAATTGGCTCTTTAAGGGTGGGGACTCCGTTTCCCTTCACCCACCCTCTGAATTTTAAAGCTCTTGGGCTGAAGGCCTGTTGGTTTTCAAAGCCGGTTGTTATGGGGACTCCTCTTCCCCAGTGTGCGTCCCCAGTGCTGGGCGTGCCTGGTGTGAGATCTCATCCTCTCGCTTCTTCCTGTCTGTGGCTAGTCACACTGGGGGTCTGGTTCCCAACCCCGTCTCCACCCCCCTGCACTTTCTGATGTGGCCTTCCCGATGATTAGCTGTGGAAGGTCTGTTCTGTCAGTCTTCAGGTCATTTTTGGAGTTAGTCATTTAGATGTAGCTGTTGTCGCAGTGTGTCCATGGGACAAGGTAAGCTCAGGATTCTCCTCCGCCGCCATCTTCCCAAAATTCCCTCAGCAGAAGTTTATTTCTTTTTCAGATGTTTCATACCTCGTGTATAGAAATGCAATTGATTTCAGTATGTTGGTTTTGTATACTGCAACTTTATTGAAATCATTGGTTAGCTCCGACAGTTTTTTGGTTGAGCCTTGGGATTTTCAGTGTACAGAATCCTATCATCTAAAAATAGTGACAGTTTTACTTCGTCCTTCTCAGTTTGGATGGATTTTAGTTCTTTGTCTTGCCTAATCGCTCAGGCAAGGACTTCCAGTACTGTATGGGATAAGAGCGCTGAGAGTGGACATGCTAGTCTTGGTCCTGATCTTAGAGAAAAATTTTTTCATTTTTACCTCCACCGAGTATGATGTTATTTGTGGGTTTGTTGTATATGGCCTTTATTATGTTCCATTTTTACCTCCACCGAGTATGATGTTATTTGTGGGTTTGTTGTATATGGCCTTTATTATGTTCCATTTATATCCCGTCTACCAAGGGTTTTTACTATTGAAAGTATGTTGTATTTTGTCAGATTGCTTTTTCTGTGTCTATTAAGATGATCATATGATTTTTATCTTTCATTGTTTTAATGTGATATATTACACTTATTGATTGGCATATATTGAACCATCCTTGCATCCCAGAGATAAATCCCATTTGGTCATGGTGTATAATTTTTTTTTTTTTTTAGATTTTTTTAATTTTTATTTATTTGAGAGAGAGAGCACATGAGAGGGGGGAGGGTCAGAGGGAGAAGCAGACTCCCCGCTGAGCAGGGAGCCCAATGCGGGACTCGATCCCGGGACTCCAAGATCATGATCATGGTGTATAATTCTTTTTATGTGTTCTCAAATTCAGTTTGCTAATATTTTGTTGAGAATATTTGCATTTATATTCATCAGGGATACTGATCTAGTTTTCTTATGGTGTCCTTATCTCTCTTTGGTATCTGGCCTTATAGAATGAGTTTGGAACGATCCCTACCTCCTCAACTTTTTGCAAGAGTTTGAGAAGGACTGCTGTTAATTATTCTTTGAAGGCTTGGTAGAATTTGCCTGTGAAGCCATCTGGTCCTGAGGTTTTCTGTGTTGGGAGGGTTTTGATTACTGATTCAATCCCTTTATTCCTTATTCATCCTTTCAGATACTCTATTTCTTCCTGACTCAGGCTTGGTGGATTGTGTGTTTCTAGAAATTTATTCATTTCTTCTAGGTTGTCTAAATTGTTGATGTACAATTGTTCATAGTAGTCTCTTATGGTCCTATGTATTTCTGTAGTATCAATTGTAATGTGTCCTTTTTCATTTCTTGAGTCTTTTTTCCTTAGTCTGGTTAAAGATTTTGTTTACTGTTTCAAAGAACTGGCCTTTAGTTTTGTTGATCCTTTCCGTTTTTCTGGTCCCTATTTCTTTATTTCTACTCTGATCCTTATAATTTCCTTTCTTCTGCTAACTTCTGTTCTTTGGGGGAAAGGTTATTTGTGATTTTTCTAATTCCTTAATGTATGCATTTATTGCTATAAACTTTCGTCTCAGAACTGCTTTTATTGTATCCTGTAAGATTTGATATGCTGTATTTCCATTTTCATTTGTTTCAAGGTGATTTTTTATTTCCCCTTTGATTTCTTCTTTGACACATTGGTTGCTCAAAAGTATGTTGTATAGTTTCCACATGTTTGTAAATTTTCCGGTCTCCCTTTTGTTGATTCCTAGTTTCATACCATTATGGTAAGAAAAGATAGTTGATGTGGTTTCAGTCTTCTTAAATTTGCTGAGATTTGTTTTGTGCCCTATCATGTCATCTGTCCTGGAAAATATTTCATGTGCACTGAAGAAGAATGTGTATTCTGCCTCTGTTGGATAGAATGCTCTCATATGTCTGTTCTTTTGTTCTATAGTTCAGTTTAGTTTCTTTGTTGATTTTCTACCTGGATGGCTTATTTATTGCTAACAGTGGGGTACTGAAGTCCCCTACTATTAATGTATTGTTGTCTGTTTCTCCCTTTAGATCTTTTGGTATTTGCTTAATAAATTTTGGTGATCCAATGTTGAGTGCATATATATGTACTATGGTGTTGTATCTTCCTGATGTATTGACCATTTTATCAGTATATAATGACCTTCTTTGTCTCCTTTTGTTTTTAGGCTTGACTTGCACCTGCTTTCATTTGGTTTCTGCTTGCCTGGAATATTCTCTTAATTCCTTCACTTTGAGCCTGTGTGTATTTTAAGAGTTGAAATGAGTTTCCTGTAGGCAGCATATGGTTGGGTCTTGTTTTTATCCATCAAGCTACTCTGTGCCTTTTGATTGATGAATTCAATCCATTTATATTGAGTAATTATTGATCTTAAGGACTTAATACTACTGCCTCTTATATTTTGCCTTCTGATTGTTTCTTTTCCCTATGTTTCCGTCTGCCTTTATAACGTGGTGGTTTTCCATGATGATTTGCTCAGTCTCCCTTTTTTTATGTTTTGTGACTTTTCTCTAGATTTTTGCTTTGTGATTACCATGTGGCTTACATAAAACATCTAAGGAGTCCTCTTTTTATGCTGATAGCACTTTATCTTCATATAAAGCTTCCACCCTTTTACTCCTCCCCTTTTACATTTTTTATGTCATAGTTTACCTTTTTTTTTTGCTTTGAATTATTGAGGAATTATAGTGGTGGTGGTTTTTTGTTGTTGCTCTTAAGCCTTTATACTATAATTAAGTGGTTAACACATCATTCTAATATATAGTTTTCTAAATGTTTTTCACCTTTGTCTAGAGTATAGGTCATTTCATGTGCTTTTATGTCACTAATTAGCGTCTTTCCATTTCAGCTTGGAGAAATTTCAGTATTTCTTGCAAGGCAGATCTAGTGGTGAACCCCCTCAGTTTTAGTAGGGAAAGCCTTTATTTCTCCTTCATAGCTGAAGCATATCTTTGCCAGGTAAAGTGTTTTTATTTTTCAGCACTTTGAATGGGTCATTCCACTCCCTCCTGGGCTGTAGAATTTCTGAGAAACCCATCATTAAGCTAATGGAGGTTCCTCTGTAGGTTACTTTGTTTCCTGGGTGCCTTTTTTTTTTTTTTAAACAGATTCATTATAGGGGCGCCTGGGTGGCTCAGTCGGTTAAGCGTCTACCTTCGGCTCAGGTCATAATCTCAGGGTCCTGGGATCGAGCCCCACATCGGGCTCCCTGCTCTGCGGGAAGCCTGCTTCTTCCTCTCCCACTCCCCCTGCTTGTGTTCCCGCACTTGCTGTGTCTCTGTCAAATAAATAAATAAAAACTAAAAAAAAAAAAAAAAAAAAAACCAGATTCATTATAATGTGTCTTGGAGATCATCTTTTTGCATTGAGATAATAGAGTATTCTGTTAGCTTCTTGGACTTCTCCACTTCCTTCCCCAGGTTTGGGAAGTTCTGTTCTATTTCTCTAAATATACTCTCTGCTCCCTTTTCCCCTTCTCCTTCTGGTAGACTATTATATTTTTCTCATCATACGTGATAGCTCTTACGGGGTTTCTTCTTTTTTATTTTTTTTAATCTAAGCTCTCCTCTCCTGGGTCATTTCTAAATTCCTATCCTCCAAGCACTAAATCCCTTCTTCAATCTGATCTGCCCTATTTCCTAAGCTCTCTATCTCATTCACTGAATTCGTCAGCTCCAGAACTTGTCTGGTTCTTTTTGAAAATTTCAAACTCCTTGGTAAGAAAACACCTCCTGTTCAATAATTTTATTCCTAAATAGATGAGCTTGTAATAAAACTCATGTGCTTCAAATTTCTTTGTAGTAGCTATTTTGAATTATTTGTCAGTTAAGTCACAATATTTTGCACCTTTGGTTCAGTTGCTGGAGAATTTCTTTTTTTGTGATACCATATTACCATCATTTTTTATAGTGCTTGATTAAATGTACCTCTGCCATTGCATCGAAATAGCACACTTCTCTCAGTTGTTTACTTTGTTATAGTTCAACAGATTGGCAATTGCAGACCTTTCTTTTGTTTCCCAGAAGGTGGTGCAATAGCTCAGGTTTTTGGCTTCTCCTCACCTGAGCTGGTTCTGGAGCTGCACTCAGGACCACATGTAAAAGCAGTCAGTCCAGAAGCTGGCAACAGAGGTAGGGAATGAGGGGAAGTGTAGGCTTGGCACCGTGCTTTGTGGTTGCCTACAGGCTGGTAGGGGGAGCCTGAGACAGGGCAGTCCCAGAGGTCCTTGCGTGGACCTCCTACTGAAATCCCAAAGCAGATAGCAGGGAATGTTCCTTTAATGTCCTTTGCTAGTCTTCTGGTTTCCATTTCCTCTCCCTCTCCCTCTCCCCAGTCAAGGAGGCCCCTCCTCAAAGCTGTGCTGCTGGGGTGAAATGCGTCCCTGGGCAGGAGAAGTACCCTGTTTTGAAGCTGTTCCTTTGTGTGCTTTAAAACAGGTAGCCCCAAGATGAGAGAAACAAATGAGCATCAGCTCAATGCAAGGCATGACGCTAGATGCTAGGAGTATGCGTTAAATGACTGTCACACAACTGTATTTCTTAGTGTTTATTTCAGTTCTTTTCACATATCTATAAGGTCAGAAAGTGGATATATACATACAAAATTCAAAACAACTTCCTAAAATGGCTTTAGTATTAGCCAGTTATTGACATCCTTATTTTGAAAGTTTGAATTGTCAAATGTGTCTAAAGTGCATTCTCGCAAGCTAATCTATAGCAGCATTTGTTCTGTTTATAAAACCTTAAGTATCCAGACAAGAGCAGGAAACGTCACAAAAAAAAGTGTGATCTACATATATTTTTCCTTAATCACCCAGGACAAAACACTTGTGTGAATTAGTTATTAAGTATATAAGAAATATACAAAACAATAGCATTATTAAAAAGTTCATATGGCAAGGCATGGAATATAAAAAGTGTGCTGAATCCTAGATATCTTTGGAACCATAGGGGGATCTCTGATCTGCACCAGTGTATGATGTATCTGAGGTCTGTGATAGTCAACAAAGCTGCGAGATGACTCAGAAGACTCCTGGCACGGCTTTGGAGAAATCACCAACACAAATGAGATTGTCAGGTCATGGTTTCTTGCGCCTAAAACGTGAAAACCAGCATTTAGTATTGACTGTTGCAATCAGTGACACATTCATAGCAATTGGATCTCCTAGGAAAGGCTTTACAAGAACTCAGGTTTTACTGTGAGAAAGTTCAAATCCTGAGAAAGCAAGTAACAGTTATAAAATATATGTACCCAGTATTAAATTTAAAAAGCAGGATTCCTGCCTTCATCCTCTTGCAGTGATTTTCCAACTTGCCTAAGGAATACATGTGTTAAAAATGGACACAAAGATTTGTATAGGTAAACATTTGAAAGGGGGTTTTACTAATATGGAAAATGAATAGACCAGACTCTTGGGTATGTGCTTTAATAGAAGGAAAAGTGTGATTCCTTCCCCTACCATAAATTCCACACTCCGTTTTATTTTAGTGAACACTTCACACTATAACGAGACCAAGAGGCAAGTTCGGAAAGAATGAAGAACCGGAAGAGCTGTCATCCCTGACTAAAGCCTCCAGCCTCCCTCCTTACAGATGATCTCAGTCCAGCCTCTGAGAGCTTTATGAGCGCTAACAGAGTATCAATGAGCATGAGCAATCTTCCGTCACCTCCTGTTAATGCTCTTACCACGCGTTCTGAGGTTCTCAGCCCTGCTGTTGAAGTCTGCTAGAGGACCCAGATAGTCCAAGGGGTAAACAGAAACCACATATGTCCTCTTAGAAGTGGATAGTAGGGAGAAGCGGTGATAGTGGAAATACTGGAGGAGGGAGAACACACACAGAAAGGCCCAATTAGTCAGGACTCACTTGGGTTGTGCATGATGCTGATATCCAGGTCCCAGCTGAGATCCTGCTCTCATCTCCACAGCCACAGAACACTAATAGGAACATTACAGAAGAGGAAAAGATCAGCTACTCTCTCTAGAGTCTATAAACACAGTTCTGCTCAGACGGGCTCAGCCCCGGTGGAATCCCACATTGCTTTCTAGTGCAGCAGAGACACCTACGTTAAAATACCAGATCCGTGCAGTTTATTTGACAGAGGCCCCAAAGCTGGTGAGATGGAAGGGTCTCTAGAGATCATGCAGGTAATTTTCTTGAGAAGGTTAGTGACCAGGGCCAGAGCTTGGCCTCCTAACACCATCTGCCCTTCCCATGCTCTTTCTAGAGGAGCCTCTCATCAGGAGTAACAGTGAGTAACAGTTCCACAGGGCACTGTGCTTCTGTGAAGATTCATTCCCACCAATTTGATGTGAACTGTTGTTATTCTACAGGCATGCTCTCTGACTCGATCCTCGGGCCCTGTCCCTCTACACTGAAAACAGGAACCTTGAGCCAGAGAGCTCCAGTAGGAGCAGACTAAACAAACAGGAGGACCTTGGCAGGTTCGCGGGGAACCATGCCTACAGGCCCCACTGGCAATGTCAGATCGGACCTCAGCTGCTTCAGAGAGCAGGAGAAGCTGGAGCCGGGGGCTTAAAATAGGTTGCCCCTAACTTTCATGAAGCAGACAAATATTTAACTTTTACCCCTACCCTTGTTTCTACATCAGTCCATTCCGACTCTGTACCATCTGGTGGGGCAGGTGCTGCTGTGGAAGATCTTCGTTTTCGACTGTGGAAAAACAGGAAAAATACTAGACATGGGATATCACTACACTCTTTCAGATAATTAATGCTACATCTTATAGGATATTGTGTTCTGCAAGAATAAGCAGCTAAGAAAGCTATAGCCCTCTGAAGAGATACATCTGATGATCACTCACCCAGTTGGTGATTCTTGTTTTAAAGTCTCAATATCCGTAAACTGAACAGACTGTCCACCACCTCTTGTTTTATAAACATCACCCTGAAGCCGAGAGAAAAGGTCAGCATTATACTTTGATATACCTGAATGATAAACATGTATTTCAAACTGAACTTAAGATTCTCCATGAAACAGTAAATAAAGTCCTAGTCACAAAAACCAGATGGTGCTGCAGACTGTGCTATTAAAATACTTGAGAAATTATCTCTCACTAAACAAAAGAAGTCCGATGCAATATAATCAGTAACATTCTTAAATTGCAAAAAATATTCCTTTTTGTTCAGTCTATAATTTAAAAATACCAAGGGTCAAGAAATCTACCAGAAATTTCTAAATGTTCTAAGGCATTATACTGTCCTCTGGGTACCACCTCCCTCATATTACAGTCATATTTATAACTCTGGTTATAATTAAGAACCATCCTCTAAATTAAATTTTCTCCAGTTGGCTTTTACGTCCCCAATTATTCATTGACTCTCTGATCAAAGGATAATTTTTCTACAGGCGAGGGAAGGGAAAGGGCTCTGGGTAGCTCAGTAATAAGAAATGTTGATAGGTCACATTTTAACGTGGGCTTTTTATCTGGAACTGACAAATGGTAGGAGTTCTTTGTTTGGGTTTACTTTTAAAGTAGTGGTTAAAACTAACTCTACAAGTACATAATAGATCTGGAGTTCCTCTAACAGAATCCTGAGGATCTGAAACTGTTCACTAGAGAGCAGCTGATTTAGTCCTAGTTTAGCAGATTTAGAGCCTGAGCAGTTCCTTTAGTTTTCTAAGACACAAACAAAAAGGTTGTATCAACACCCATTTATCTTCGTTGACACTGCCTGTGTGTCATCAAAGGAACAGAAGAGTAAGTGGTTTTTTGCGAAGTTGACTTTCTGTGTTTTTCGTCCTGTGTCAATTTGTTTTTACCTTGATTAGTTTAGTTTCAATCTCCCCATCGGAGGCTAGTTCCTGGTGGGTCAGCATGTACTTCTCACACTTAGCTAGTGCCTTTTCATTTGCAACAGATACTGTGATGGCATGAGGGACATGTGGCTGCATGACTGTCTCAGTTTGCACGTTAGAGGCAGGCTTATGATCTACCCATCTGTCTCCTGCAGAGCGAGATCGTCTGTGGCGGAGACGAACTGGTGGTGCGTTCTGATCAGGTTGAAAGAGGAATCAAGAAACAAGCATAACCCAGAATTAATTTAAGGGCGTTATTAGAAGTGCAGCAGGTTTGGCTACGGTAGTTGATGACACAGTATCAAAACAAATGCACAAGCCTTTTCAAAAGCTAAATGTTACTCAGATAAGTTAAATGTCGTCTTTGTATTTAAGCACAAGACCAACAAACATCTTTTAATACCGCTCGTCTATTACACATTCTACACCAGGGAGCTTCCCTTTCAGCAAAAACAATGGAAGGAAAACTTCTGGTTATGCTGCTAGGCTTTCCTGCATAGGTGGTATTCAAGAGAATTCATTTTATATTCCCTATCAAAACCATAATGGTTTTATTTGTGCCTGCCATTGTAAGGGAATCTGTTAGGTCCACAACTATGTTAAAGACTTCAAATGAGGTCAGTAAAAGCCCTAAACATGCCACGGGCCTCTAAACAAGGAGGAAAACACTCCATATACAAAGACAGACAATAAGTAAGTAAAAACTAATGGACTGTATGGGCCAAAATGCTAAAGAACATAAGGTATAATAAGAAACCTATGTATAAAATGATTAAGAGAATAGAAATGGGGCGCCTGGGTGGCTCAGTTGGTTAAGCGACTGCCTTCGGCTCAGGTCATGATCCTGGATTCTCGGGATCGAGTCCCGCATCAGGCTCCCTGCTCAGCAGAGAGGTCTGCTTCTCCCTCTGACCCTCCCCCCTCTCATGTGCTCTCTCTCAAATAAATAAATAAAATCTTTAAAAAAAAAAAAAAAAGAATAGAAATGAAGTACTTCTGACTGCTTTGAGATCTTAAAATCTCAAATAGAACTTCATGACAAGTTCAAATACAATAATGGCTAAAACATACCAACTATTTTTTTTCTCAAACATTTCATAAAGATTCCAAGAACCAAACTAAAAATGTAGTATCAAATCAGTCTCCGTCATTTCATACAATAAAATACTAGTTGCTTCCAGTTGACTATCATGTAAATCTGGGAAAGTTAAATTTAGCACATTCAGTCCAAGAAAAAGTATTTCACATACAGAACATAGTTCCAAAGACAACTCATTGCTTCATACATCTCCTGTTTGTATAACTGACAGCAAATAAAACAGTCTGTCACAGGCCAAATCCTTCCAAGCTGGTCACATACGAAGATCCCAACTTTAAGATGCCTGTCTGGAGAACTGAAGCGTTTCCCCTATGTAATCACAATCAGCAGCTGAAGTGCTAGTGACAAGTCATTGCTACTACAGAACCTGGGCCATAGAGTTGGCCACGGAAGGTGCCCACGCCTCCAGCAACCCAGGAAACTTTCCACTCTTAAAGTGGCCTGATGTTGAACAAGAAAGTCAGGCTCTCGTGAGCATTTAGCAAAGGTGATAGTTTTCCTGAACACATTTAGCAATAAATGCATTATGAAACTAGCTTTAGAAAGATAATTGTTACAGTCTACTATCATTTATGGAATCAAAGATATTTACAACTTCTTCCTCACTGAAGTATAAACTCAGCCCACCTGACATAATTTTTGGCCAAAACAAACCTAGATATGTTGTTGATTCTAGCCTAAACTTTGCTGCACTTCTAAAAAGATCTGATTTCAAGTGAGAAGTTAAAGGATCTCTAGTAAATCCTCTTAAATACCTGAGAGCCGAATTAGATACCACATTAATGTTGACCAGGCTTAAGCAGGCCTTGAACAGTGTTCACTCTGTAAACTTTCATGAAAAATAAAGGGGATTTATTAGAGTTGATCAGAAAGACCAGTCACCATAATTTGCTCCCTAAAAAGTTTTCAAGCAAAATTTGCAAAGTAAAGAACTTAGGCTTTAGAATCATCTGTTGTCTTGGTAAATACCTTGCAATTCATTACTATCCCTTAATAAGCAGGAGTGCAGGCCATCTAAATGAAGCTTATCTGTACCCTAAATTATAGGAAATCTAAAGTAAAATACTATTAGATTAATTTGTTAAAAGACAAATTCTAAAAGAACTATAGTAAGATTTTACTAAATATAAATCCACAATATTAACTTGGTCCATTTATTCAGAGTCAAAGGAAAAACTTTAATCCTTAAGAAGAGAATTTAAGCGTGAATTTCTTTAAACACCCTTAACTGAGGCCGAGCCCTTATAGGTTGAGATAAAGGTCTTGAGATTAAAAACAATTTACTGGACATGCAAACCTTCAGTAGTTACAAAACAACAGGCCTGGACTATTCAAAAACAGTCAAGGTCATGAAAATCAAAAAAAGTGTGTGGCCGGGAGACTATTTTATATTAAAAGAGATTGAAGATTGGGACGCCTGGGTGGCTCAGTCGGTTAAGCGTCTGCCTTCGGCTCAGGTCATGATCCCAGGGTCCTGGGATCGAGTCCCGCATCGGGCTCCCTGCTCTGCGGGGAGCCTGCTTCTCCCTCTGCCTCTGTCTCTCTCTCTCTCTGTCTCTCATGAATAAATAAATAAAATCTTAAAAAAAAAAAAAAGATTGAAGATACATAATAACCACATGCAGGGCATTGACTTTGTTAGGACCATAGATTAAAAATAGAGGATATTTATTCAATTAATGTTAACTTTCTTAGATTTGATAAAGACTGTTTATACAGGACAATGTCCTTAGTAGGGATGAAGTGTCACAGAGGGTAGGGACTTCCTTTCAGAAGTTCAAGGAAAAAATGATTACATATCTATATAAATGACAATTGGTAAATCTAGGTAAGAGGTAAGGTAACTCAACTTTTGAGTTTGAAACTTTTCAAAAGAAGTTTGAGAAAATAACTTTAAAAATAAAAGTTCAAAAGCAGCAAAAAATCTGAGGAAGGAAAACAAGGAAAAAAGGGAAAATGTGCTCTGAGACCCTCGTGCGCTGATTTTGTGGCTGCTCATTAGCTTATGCAAACGAAAAGCCCAGATTACTCTGGGATGCGCCCCACTGACCCGTGTTCGCTGGCGGCCTCGCGGTGGCCAGATGTGTGACAGCTATTTCAGATGAAGAGCTAGGCCTCAAGTTCAGGGTGATTTTCCAAAGTAACTAACAGAAAGATTAGACCTTGTTTATATTTCGAGTTCGCCCCTCTTTCCATTGAACCTTCTGAATGAATCAAGTCACAGAAGCCCCCACCAAGCCCCGAGCTTCGACGCTCCGGCTGCGATGCTTTCGGAGAACACCAGCACTGACCCTGCAGCAGTGGTCCTCTTCTAGCTCTACCTCATTTCTCAGTGTGGGAACCACCTCCCTGCCTTCCGTCCAGTACATGCCTCGCCTTCTGTCTGACACGACACAAGTTTTACTTTGTCCTGGCTCCTGCTGCCTACGCCTTGCAATAGAGGTGACACGGACAGGTGTGCTGTACGGAGGCATTTTCTGCTCCCATTCCGAAATACAGGAAGCTACAGAAATGCTGCTGCAAGAGTTAGAGCGCCTGCGTAGCTGCGGCTGGCCCAGGAGCTGCTGGCCGGTGGGAATCTGAGCAATATAGTTACCAGAAAGCTAAAAAAATGGAAGAGAAATTAATGAGCAAGACTGAAACACCGAGAGAAACAAGTCACGGCTATTCTGTCATTTTAGCACATGCTAGAATTATTTTTACTGAGTTACTCAATGTTTTCTTCTGAATTTGCACTAGATTTGTGTTTAGGCTAAACTGAGAAATATTTACATAGCGAAGGTGGAGAAATACAGTAAGTAATCTAAAACAACAAAGGGAGCGTCCTAGAAAGTTACCTAACCTGAACGGATTTTCTCTAGTGCACGTGACTCCCCAGCCACGAAGAACTTACAGGTACTGGTGACGGGGAGACAGCTCTTTGAGTGCCTTTTTCCCGGTCCCGCTCCCGAGAGGGTCTCTCTGGCTTTTCGGCTTTGGGTTCCGTAACAATAGCCTTCAGTTGTTTCAGTTTCTCATCTTTGACCCAGAGTTTATTTTGCATCTCCAGCTGCTTGGCTGCCACCCGGCGCTCCTAGGTTAGCGACAGGGACACATCTCTAATTCAGTCACACCAAACGCACGCACCCAACCACCAAGCCACCCCGTGTCCTAAGAATGACCGGCCTCCCGGAGTCCAGCACGCCTCGTCGTGCATTTTAAGGGCAGAGAAAGGAAACGGGATGGACTGAACAGAGGCTCCTGCTGCCGCCGCCACCAAAACCCTAGGCCTGGGAACACGATTCAGAACACGGCGGGTGGAAATCAGCCCTCGTCCCAGAGGTAAGCACCGCGGGGGCGACACTCACGCATTCTTTCTCCCACTTCATGGTCGTTTCCGTCACCATGCCTTGCAGCCTGGCTTCCAGTCTGCGTTTGTCAGAAAATTGCCGCTGGAGTTTCTGGTTCTGAGTCTCGAGTTCCTGTTGCAGAGTGCGCTTATCTTCTTCATAGATCGTAGTTGTCTTCTCTAAAATCTCAATCTGGGAAGGCAGACCGTTCTGTTCAGGATCTGGCTCATAAACACTGCATGTAGCTGTGAACTAACCGCTTTCGTGATTTGCTCATGCGGGCATAGTTGCGGAAAGAAAAATCATGGAGAAAACAGTTCCCTCTACAATTTCATCTGAATTCCCACCTCCATTCCTAGAAGTTAGAACTTCTAAACAAGGTCCTCACAGAAAAGACGAAGCTTTAATTGACTTCATGTGAAAATGATTTTCCCCTAAAATTAGACCTGAATTTTGTTTTTAAGGCTGTTTTCAGAAGAGAGAACACTACTGGTTGAGATGAGCTTCTGTCTAGAATGAGTAAATGATACTCAGTAAATAAAAGAACAAACCTATCATCCTAAGTCAAAAAGCAAGCCATAACCAGAGCTAAATTCATGAAAGCCCTCTAAAAACTCACTTGTTTGGTCCAAAAACATTCTCTCCAGTTGGTAAAGTCTAACTCAGAAAATTAAAGAGTATATTACCCCTCTGAAGCTCTTCACTCACATTTCTTCTTCTGTAGGCAGCCGGGTGCTGCCTCTCCCTCAGTCAGCAGTGGTGAAAGGCCGGGAGGGCGAACACTAGGTCACACAAAGCAGTGCTAACCTGCCAGCACGCACATCCACTCAGTCATGCCAAAACAAACCTTATACTCTAAAGTTTTGTTTTTCTTCTCCAGTCGTTCTATTTCCAATTTCTGTCCTGAGATCACCTTTTCTTTTTCATTTAGTTTTCCTTGAATGTAGTTTTCTTTATTTAAAACAGCACTGTCGAACTCTTGCAACAACGCTTTAAACGTAATAGCTGAAACAAAAGCATGGAGGCCGTTTACTCCCAATTCCAAAATAACCAGTGAAATCAACTTTTCCTAACCGGTATGTAGCTATTCAGCAAATCATGAGGGTCAGTCTGTAGCAGAAAACACGTTGAGAAGGAAATCAAGAGTTTGGTTCCCAAATCTACATGAGAGATATTCCTAGAGGCTGGTTTTTACTGAAAAACACGGAGTCTTTCATTTTGCACTCTGGCATTCCTTGTCAGCCCTTACAGGTAAGTAATTTGCTTCAAAACAAATGCAAAAACAGAAATAACAGATTCAGGATTGTTCGGACTTGAAATCCCTGGTACACCAATTACTAGTTATGTGACTTGGGCAAGTTACTTAATTTTTCTGAGCACATGTCCTCCTTTCAAAACGGGGCTATAGATACCACTTACCTCACACCTTTCCTCTGAAGATGCAAATGAATTGATGATGATAAAAATCGTAGACCTGCTCACTGAGCACTTGTATGTACCAGGCTGTTTGTTCACTGTTCTACATGATTCTCACATATTACCTCATTCCCACAACACCCTCTGAAGTAAGAACAGTTAAAATCCTCATTTTGCAGATAGGGAGACCAAGAAATGGAAGACGAAGTCATTTGCCCAAAGACAGTCTTTAATATGTAATATTTATGAAGTGCCTTGCCAAAGTAAGTAACCAGTAGGAACCGAAAGCAAAGTAGCTATTACTCCTTTGTGTCCATCACTGTAGATTTTAAAAAGGGAGAGAATACACACCCACCGGTTTCTTCTGTTTTATGACCTGTGGGAAAGTTCCTTGTCAGTCTAATTGAACAATGCCTTGAACACTACAAAGTGCAGAAACAACCCTTCCTTAAAGATCTCAGATTCGTTAAAATTTCTGGAGCTGAAATGATCGCAGACCGCTTTTGGCCCTTACATTGTTTGTGAAACTCATCGATCATCATCTGCCGTAGGTGATGTCGTTTCTCTAATGCCTCGATCAGCCTGGGAAGAGTCTGCTCGTCGTTGATATCCAGAAGTTCACAGGATGGCAGAGGTGGAAAACTCTGTAAAACCACTTCTGTAACCAATGGTTCTGCGTTGAATTATAAAAAATTACAAGTTACACAGGAGAGAAAGCTTATTTAAATATCTTAAATCCTTGTGATTAGAATAACCCCCAGTTCAATGAGCCATGTACTTTCTTGAGTTGTCACAATCATACTTCCTTAAAAATGAGGTATAAAAAAGGAAAAGTGGGGAAAAAAAAGGTTACAGTATGTAACAAAAGAAAACTCATTTATCTCATTTATACTTTGGTTCTTTTTTTTTTGCACTTGGTTCTTGAGAGGGAGGGAAGTAAGTAGTAGTTCTCTAATGTGAAATCGATCTTAAGGAAGGAGAGACTGACAGATGTGAGTGTGCACGTGATGTGACACCAAATCATACCATCTCCAACTGGACCTCCCCGAGCCTGGTTTCTGTATCTCCTTCCAGGCGTCAAACCACATATTGCCTTGTCCACTGGTCTTGCCACTTCAACTTCTTGGGTCACTTCTGCAAATCTCATGACTTGCTAAGATACAAAACACATCAGAGGGGGGTTTTTTGTTTTTGTTTTTCTAAATCAGCATATTCAAGTCCTTCAGAAAATACTTAATGAGATAATAAATTGGTCATTAGTTCATTTCTGTAACTAATGGTTCTGTATCAGTTTTAAAAATATTTAAAATGTCATTCTTCACATCCAAATAGTTGTTTTCTCCATAGAAACTCTGAGACTTTATAAGATAAATATATCAAAATTACCAAGCTCTCTTCATAGTCTTCAGCCTTTGGATTCACACACACGATCATGCGTACTTTACCTTCCCCATCGAAGTAGTTCTTGAACAGATGGGTTAACTTTGAATCTCGGTATGGAACCATCTGTAAATACATTCAAACCCAAATATATAAGGCACAAGAATGCACACAAACAGAGCTCTACAAATGATGGTTGACAGGCTGTTGCTTACTTTGTTAGTTCCGTACATTTGGTTCTCTCTCAGGACTTCCATACACGTTCTTAGCGTCATTAATGACTGATTAATGTTACCTGACAGGAAAATATAAACAGGAGACATTTGAAAACAATAGAGTAGCTACAGTGTGGTCTGTCTGCCTATAAAATCCCCACTTCATAGAAATACTATATGGAAATTACAACTAACAGGTTTTAGTGGCTCAGTCTAAGGAGCTGTCCTCACATGGCCTGGCAGTATTTCAGGAGTATTTTAATAGCAGTGTTTCAAGAGGGGGTTGAACACCATCCTTCAAGGATTCTATCAAAACGACTGTCCATGGAATGCAACATTATATACTTCATGGCCCATAAAGTTTCTTCCAAATCTTAAATTCTATGAAAGTATATTAGATGCAGATGTTTAATATCCTCATATTAAAATATTATCTCAAAAGCATGACAATTTCAGGCTTCATCAGCACTGAAGTCCCCCCAGCACCCAGAGGGTCTCCTGTTTCCAACAGTCATGTGTGTTAGGATCCAGCTAACTCTGTCCCCTCCACATCCAAACAAGGATTTTTTTTTTTTTTTTTAAGATTTTATTATTTCTAAGTAATCTCTATACCCAATGTGGGGCTCGAACTCACAACCCTGAGGTCAAGAGTCACATGCTGTACTTGAGCCAGCCAGTCGCCCCCAAACAAGATTACTAAGGCAACATAGCTGTTACTTCTGACCACTCCTGTTTGGACTTCTGAGCCAAGGCAAGCGTGACTTCATCAAGCCTCCAGTAATGCAGGAGATCTCACTTGCAGAGACCCCCAAATACATCAGCTAACCCCCACCATGCTCTCATCCTTGGTCACCTCTCAAAACACAGAGCTCATCTGTGCCTCCATATTGTCCCATGATTCATGATTCCTCTTCCTTGACCCCAACTCCCGGTGTCCTTCCTGCTTCCACTGTGCTCTCTGGAACCCAAATTCCTGTTAACAGACTTCACTACATCCTCACACCTTTCACAGAGAGCTCTACCCATCTCTCACTAATTGCCAGGGTTTCTTAACATGGGGCCCATGTTGTCCATGGATATGTTTCAGGAAGTCTGCATACTTGGATGAGAAATAAATTATACCTTTATTTTTTCCTGACTTCTGAAATTTAGCAGTTCCTTTCAATTATGAATGTAGGCCAAAAATATTAGTGGTGCCTGTGATTTTTGTCAGTACAAATCATAGGTAATTTTACAGCATATTACAGTTTATTGCTGATCAAGATATTTATATTCATTACTACTTTGAAATTATGTAGTTATAAGACCTACTGGTTCATCTTTAATTAAGGCATTAATAAAGAAGCATGTAAATTATTGTAGTGACAAATGCCTTAAGAATACTTTTGGGGGGGCACCTGGGTGGCTCAGTCAGCCATCAGACTCTTTTTTATTAAGATTGATTTATTTATTTCAGAGAGAGTACCAGCAGGGTAAGGGGTAGAGGGAGAGGGAGAGGATCTCAAGCCCAGACTCCCTGCTAAGCATGGAACCTGATGTGGGGCTCGATCTCATGACCAGGAGATCGTGACCTGAGCTGAACCAAGAGTCAGACACCCAACCAACTGAGCAACCCAAGCACCCCAGGCATTCACCTCTTGATAGCAGCTCAGTTCTTGATCTCAGGGTCGTGAGTTCAAGCCCTGCCTTGAGCTCCACGCTGGGCATGGAGCTTACTTTAAAAGGGGGAGGGTGGGTTGCACCTGGGTGGCTCAATCAGTTAAGTGTCTGACTTCAGCTCAGGTCATGATCTCAAGGTCCTGGGATCGAGCCCCACATTATGCTCCCTGTTCAGCAGGGAGTCTGCTTCTCCCTCTCCCTCTGCCCCGCCCCCTGCTCGTGCGCTCTTTCTCCCTCTTTTAAAACACATTTCCATCTAATCAGTTTCCTCTGTAATCCTGTGTATTTTATGTTATTCACTCAGGATTATTCTGTGAAGTGT